CACAAAAAAGAAAAGAAAAGAAAAGAAATCAATAATTTTCTGAGCAACCAAACATGAAATCAGATCATGGTATTGCAGCTAGTCCTACAAAGATACCAAGTTCATGATCATGAGATAAATCTACCATAGCACACTAAACACATAAAGTCGCCCTTCAAAGAGGCAATTCGGCAAAACCCAGAACTTTCATTTTGCAGGAAATCAAACAGAAATCCAAACCAGAGAATTGCAGCCAGTCCCACATAGGTAGCCAGTCCAAGATCATGACATATTAACCAGCATAACACGTTAAAACATATCTAATTATGAAATCACCCTTCAAAGAGGCAATCGAGCAAACACATAACTTCTACTTTCTGATCAACCAAACAGAAAACTAAAGCGGAGAATCGCAGCCAGTCCTACACATATACCCAGCTAATGATCATGAGATATTTTCCAACGTAACACGCTAAAAAAAACCCATCAAATCACGAAATCACCCTCCAAACAGACAATTCAGCAATCGCACAGTTTCATTTCTTCCCTCTCTCTCTATATATATTTTTTTAACGAGATGAAATTGAGAAGTTCATACAATATCCATTAAAAATATGAAAACTACGGACTCACCCTTATCAGGAATCGGGATTAAGTAAGAGAATTATCTGAAAAAAAAAAACCCATCTGAAGAGGATAAAAGAAGAAAAAGAAAATTAAAAATTAAAGAGAATCCCAAAGCTGATATTGAAGCCACCAATATTTTGAATGGCTGCTAAAGACTGGATTTTGAATCCCCCGACCAAGAGAAAAATTCTGGCTGCCATCACTACGAGAAAATCAAAGACGTGGGGATTCCTCCAAAGCACGACGACGTCGCTTTTGCTGGTTTCTTCATTGCTCATGGCTTAATTCCTTGCTTAATCTAACGCAGGCACATAAGTTTATTGGGCCTCATAAAACGGCTCAAATTACGCAGACGTTGTAGGTCATATATTGTATTTGAGGCCTTTAATAAGCCTTCAATGGGCCTTTTAGTGGGCCTGTAATGATAATAGAATGGGCCTGTGATGGGCCTATGGCGGGCCTTTAATGGGCCTGGTTAATGGGCCTTCAACGGGCATGTAATGGGCCTTCAACAGGCCTCTATTGGGCCTCCAATGAGCATCTAATGGGCCTCCAATGGGTAATTTGTAACCATTTCAATTAAAAAAATATAAAAAGAAAAATTAATTTTACGTCAAAAATAATTTTTTATAAGTTTTTTTTTTGTAAAAATATAAAAATTAATATTTTTATTAAAGTAAATTATTAACTTTATTTTTTAAAAAAAATAAATAAATAAAGGTAAAATAGCAAGCAAAAGACCCTGGAACCCTAACGCCAGCGGCAAGTCCGTCACTACCACGCGCAGAAGACAAGCCATCTTCTCCATCACCCTCCTCTTCTTTTCTTACCAGTCGCGCGCCTCCCAGCGGCTAGGGTTCCTCCCGTTGCCATTTCTTCTAGCCCACAGCACCGTCGGGCCAGCGACTTTGACTCATAATTGCTTACTCCTTCTTTCACTCTCTTATTAGGTCGCTAAGGAAAGAAGAGCTGAGAGATAAATAAGAGAGCTAAAACATGGGGAAAGAGGAGATGGAGACTGAAAAGTCTTACCAGATAGACCTCGGCAATCTCATGGCTTTCGACCCTTATCACCACTTCCCTTCTCTACCTTCTTCCAGGTTTGTTTATATGCTTTTCTCCATCTGTATGTATCTTTGTGGAGTATTTAGTTAATTTTTCTTGGAACTCGGTGATGTTGCTTTGGTAGGATATTACTAGCATATAGAAAGGCTTAAGGCTCTACTGGTTTTGTTCTGCAAATTTTGTTATTTCGGTTAAGTTACTTGGAAGCTAAAACTTGTCTCTTAGACCATTAGAAGAAGATTTGCTAAAAATTTCGATAATGTTATCTTCATGCCTGTTGCTGAACATGCTAAGACAGAGTTTCTGTCTGCTTTTTGTAGCTAATCACCCTAGAACCAAATTGGGGTTTTTTGTTTTTAGAGGGGAATATAATGTAAAGATTTGAATGTGGCTACATGCAAATTTCACCCATTCCACTCTCTGCGTTTGAATTTCCTTTTCAAATAGTAGTATGTAATTATTAAAGTTCTATGTTTTTGGCACAAGATCATAATTTTGTTCCATGGAGAATTTGCTTTAGTATCGGTTATTTTTATGAACTTCATTCTGATTTAGGGAGGAGCTTGTAAAGGAATGCTTAAAGGAAGGAACTAAGCTAGTACAAGCAATTGCAGATGGTCTTTTTAACTTGCCTGCAACTGAAGACATAGATGGTCCGCTTGCTAAGTTGCCTCCACCAACAACGAAAGTGCCTAGAGAGAAGCCTGTATGTACATCTTTTTAGCCATAATTACTTATATCTCTCATCTTCCTCTCTTTTCTTCTTTTTTTCTCCTGGGAGATAGCGGTTGGGTATTAGGTATGTTTGTCCATTCTGTAAACATTTTACTTCTCAACAGCTGTTGCTGGAAGTACTTAATTATTTCTCAATGAACACCAGACAATAAGCCAAATTTAATGAGGAACACTGTTGGCACTCTGGGTTTCTGGTGTTTCAAACATCTGGTGCTCTCGTGCTCTTTTTGTAAAATATAGTAGAGTTGTACATGATTATTTAAATGGCGGCTTCAAATGGAGCTGTCTGTCAAATTTTTGAACTTTAGTTCAGAGTCTCCTTTTGTGAATGGCCAAGAGGCTAGGGTTTGGGAAGTGCCTTACAGTAGCTCTCTAGCATTTTACCATGAAACATATATTTGAAATGTAACATGTCACACATACAAGAAAACAATTAATTGGTGAGATTCCATGGAAACCAGGATAGGAGATCCTATAAGCTAAAAGAATGGCATGGATTTTCTTAATTTTATTATGAAAACTCAAATGTTTGATTTTGTTTTCCAGCTGCCAAAGCCTAAACCTCCTACTAAATGGGAAGAATTCGCCAAAAAAAGAGGTAAGTCAATCATATTATTCAGTCTGTGAACAACTTGCCTATTTGATTCTTTTTCTCTTCTTTTCATTTTTTTTGAGGAAATTTATTGTAAATTTACTGGTGCTGGGATTTTTCATATATAGACTGTCAGTCTAACTGATATTAAATTTTTATATGTGGTTTAACCCATGTGCTTTGTCAATCATCTCGAAATATTGTACAGGTATAAAGAAGCATAAGAAGGATAAGGTGGTCTGGGATGAGCAAACCGCCCAATGGAAACGCCGCCATGGTTATGATCGCGTTAATGATGATAAAGATGTACCTATTATTGATGCCAAGGAAACTGATGGTTAGTGACTGCAGAAGCTCTTTTAGCCTTATCTATATCCTTTTATTACCTATATTGCCTTCAAATGTATTTTGTGATGTGAAAGAATAGCTATTTCAAAAAAAAATAATTTGAAAGAAATAGTAGCAATATGTTATAAACTAAACGCTGATTTTATATGAGGCCTTGTATACGTGTCTTGCCTATTTGGTTACTTGTGAAGATACTATGTTTTCCTCCAGAAAAAAAAGGTGATAGATTGAAGCATGTATACCTTTCCAAGGAGCTTGCCTTATGGGTCATATTTTCCATTTTTTACAGAGCCAGGAGTAGATCCTTTTGCTATGAGACAGGCAGAAAAGAAAAAGCGGGTTGGAAAGCAACAGCAGAATCGGTTGCAGAACTTGAAAGCAGCAGCAAAAGTTGGTGCTTTGCCAAGGTTTTGTTGCCCATTTTCCTATAAAGGGTTATTTGTTCTCATGAAATATAAGTTTTAATTTTCTTTTGCTTCATGCACAGGTTTCACTCAGCAGTCTGAATCAATTCAGCATAACTTATCGATTTCAATAAACAAATCTCAACTTTTTCATTTTCAGTCTTGTAGATTCCTTTTTCACCACTATTAATTTTAGATATGGCTTTGCTTCAAAAGTCTGAAAATCGTGTGATTTAGACTATGCCTATAGATGCTTTTGGATATTAGTGACTTGCCCTGTGATTATTCGTTAAATTTAAATAACTGGTGGTCTGTGAAGAGCTATGATGTTTTTTTTTTTTTTCTAATAATGAGCTTTATGGAAGTTCCATGCTCATAAAGCAGGCCTTATTGGTTGCTCATGTAGCATGCCCTGTTGGTTGATGTTTGGGTAGATCAACTACATTTCTCCTTAGGTTTCTGTTTGAAATATTTCATTTAGTATTGCTCCTTTTATATTTCATAGTGCATAACACAATCTGAGTGAACTATTGTCTGCAGCCATGTTCAACTAGCTGCCACAGCATTGCCCATAACTGGTACAGAGGCCCCATCCAAGAAAATTACAAAGGATGAACTGCGGAATGTAGCAGGGTTAGCTGCTACTGCAACTGCTAGTGGTGGAAAATTTGACAAGAAGTTGCCAGGAGAAAAGCTTCTTAAAAAGCAAGGAAAGCACCGCAAGGTTTGTACATGAACACCAAAGATCAACTGTATAATGCTGAAATCCTGTCATTGCTTGTACTTGACTCCTCTTGTCCTTTTTTATCTTCATGCAGTTTCTACCTGTTGTGGAAGGATCAGGAATAGGCTCCCGAGAAAAGGAGCAGACAGATAAAGTTCTGAGCAAGCTAATTTCCAAAAACTCCCATGAAATACTTAATGTTGATAAGGTAAGCATGCATTAGATTTAGGATTTTCTTTCTGGTGGTTGACGAAATGCTCCCGAGTTTAAAAAATCCAAGTAGAAACGGACTCAAACCCACATCATAATGTTTTTGAAACAGGCCATTAATATGTACAACGTGAAGAAAGAGAAGAAGAACAGAAGAAATAAAGAGGGAGCAAAATCTTCATCAGCCTCGAATAAATTGAAACCGAAGAAGAATATCCGTAAGAAGCCCGGAAAGAAAGTTTCGACAAAGGGAGGAAAGGAAAAAAAGTAAAACTAGTTAGAAGTCTATTTTTGTTAAGTGGGTGGAGTTTTGATTAGTAGTTTTTCATAGATGATTTGTGTATCTTCCCCCAGTTTCTAGTTCCCATTTTTTTATCACACTGATTCTGGTTTAGACATTTATAAATGATTTTTCTTCTGAGTTCATGCATCATCAATGTACATGTGTCTATCTCTTATCTGAATCCTGAGTCAACAATTACAGGTCTCTGTAATCATATCATCCCAAATCTAATGTTTTATCAGGATCCTTTCCATCCCAACACTATTTTTGAGACAATTAAGTATATAAGAAGATGTTGCCAAAAACCAAAATCAAAAACTGGAGAAATAAAATGAAAGTAGTTTATACAATCAAAACAAGTACATTTTTTAGAAGTTTTGCCAACAATTATCAATTTGAATTCATTTTTTTACCAATACAATATATATAATTCAACATATAGTTCTTGATCAATATATATATATATACTATATAGAAAGTAAATGAGAGTTCTTTAAGAGACAAAGAATAGAGAGACTCAGAGATTTACGTGGTTCGTCACATGGGTGTATGTGACTACATCCACGGCAAAAGGCCTACTTTCAGCCTTCTTTCTATCCATTAACCATTATTTTTTTACATTCATTATTCAAAATCATATAGAATATCTTCTTCAATCTCTTTCAGCACAAATTTTTTACATTCAATTCACAGCAGCCTTCTTCTTCCTTCCCTCTATTCAGCGGATCCGATTCAAATGCGAAAATGGCTCCGGGTTCTGCTTCGGTGCAGCTTTAGCCGCCGTTTCCGGCACCCCAAAAACATTCCAGAACCTCAGAGTTTCGTCCCCTGCTGCCGACGCCACCGTGCACCCATCTGGACTCTGCGCCATGTACAGCACCCTCGATGTATGACCAGTTAACTCCGCAATTTTCACCATTGATGGATATTTCCACAGAGTAAGCTGGTTGTGAGTGAACCCATGTGAGCTAAGCAATTCTCTCTCGTTCTTGTTCCACAGCAATGCACATACCTGGGACCCTGTATCCACCGTGTTCAAGCAAGCTCCGGTATGGGTGTTCCAAAACTTAATGCACCTGTCTCCTCCGCCACCTCCGGATGCTAGAAGGTTCCCTTGGAAAGGGCACCATGCCAGAGCCTTCACTGCAGATGTATGCTCTTCTAGTCTGTGTAGCCACTGGGTTGCAGAATTGGAGGACGCCATTGATCTGTCCCAAATGTGAAGAAGATTGTCATTGCCTCCGCTTGCTAGTTGTTGGCCTGACCCTGACCATTTCAGCCCACAAACCTCTTGTCTGTGTCCTCTGTAAGTTTCCACAATATGGGACCTTACTCTAACATCATTGTTTATGATTTGACCATCCATCCCTCCGGTTGTCAGGATATGATTGTTCCATGCCAATGACCCCACTCGGCTTCCATGGTTGTGCCCGCCTCTCAAAGTTCTCAACTGCATTAAACAGAATCATCATATCAGAACACGTTCATTCATAACACTCTTACTCACCTTGTACAATTCACAATTTGGATTTGAATAATAGAGATTGGATTCTATTCCATTTAGTTACCATTTTAATCCTTCCCAACGAAGCTATTCTTCTTTTCCATGGATATGACTATTCTTTTCCCCGCAATAAACAGAATCATCACCTCAACAAGACGTTCGTTCTTAACACTACTCTTACTCTTACTCACCTTGTACAATTCACAATTTGGATTTGAATAATAGGGATTGGATTCTATTCCATTTAATTACCATTTTAATCCTTCCCAACGAAGCTATTCTTCTTTTCCATGTATATGACTATTCTTTTCCACGCAATAAACAGAATCATCACCTCAACAAGACGTTCGTTCTTAACACTACTCACCTCGTACAATTCACAATTTGGATTTGAATCATAGGGACTGGATTCTATTCGATTTGGACACCATTCTTAATCCATCCCAACGAAGCTACTCTTCTTCTCTATGTATATTACTATTCAACCGTATCTACCCATGGTTGTTTCAGTTTCAATATTATTTTGGGGAGGGAGAACAATATACCTGTCGATTGGACGCGGAATCCCACAGCTGGACACGGGAATTGTTCAAGCCGACGGCGATATGTCGACCGTCCGGAGCCCAGCTGAGGCTTGTCACAGGCCCATCTTCGTCGTCAACGGTGACCAGTTCCGATGTGGAGCCGGTGGAAGCATCCCACAGATACACCGTGCTCCCCAAGGCTATAGCAAGAACATTAGCACTGCCCCAATCCAGTAGATTCAGGTAGAAATCATCCACGATGTCAGGGGCATCTAATGTCCTCTCCGATGTCTGTATAATGGATGTTTATGTAAATCAATTTGCCATTCATTATTAGAAAGAAAAGTAACTTTTATGCAAAAGAACGATGAAAGCACCTGGGGAATGTATCTACGAGGTTTTGTTGGTTTGGCAGGTTGAAAAGAAGAAGATATATGTTCATTGGGGATCAATTCGGAAGATGCTGGTGGTTTGTTCTTGAAAGCCAGGATTCGAGTTCGGTTCATGTTGAAGGCCTCCGCCAGTTGCTTCTGGTAGGCATCACTCGATGGGGAGCTCACCGCCGCTTCTCCTCCTCCGGCCGGATTCTCCTTCCCTTTCCTCCCTCCTGCTGTCAGCATGAATCGCGCGTAGTCCATGTCCATGGCTGATCTATTCGGTATGAATCTATCCAACTGCAAAAATCGAAAACAGATTCAAGATCTTGAAATACAACAAATCGGTGATATCGAATCTAATGCTACAATGTCAAAACCCTAAATTACCAAAAGAGATTGATCTACAAAAAATCAAAACCCTAAAACCCTAATTGACGAAGGAAAATAAAATAAAACTGCAAGATTCACATAAATTCGATGGAAGGAAGGGAGTTGAGCATACATTTTCCTTAGAATTCCTTTTAACAAGAAACTGATCTTGAAGTGGGCATCTAGACTGCACCTTCAAATCAGAAGAAACTTTGACTGATCCTACATCCATGGCGTTAGAAAAAGAAAAAAAAAAGACCAAGAAAACAAGAACAATAGAGAATTGAAAGAGATAAAAAAAAAAAAAAAAAAAAAAAACTAATTACACCTGCAAGAAATGGTTAGATTAAACTAATGAAAATAGGAAATAAAGATTTTGCAGAAGACAATAAGCATGTAATGTGCATATATCAGAAATATAATTTGCAGAGCACGAGAAGAAGATATATAGAGCAGAGAGATTATTCAATCAGAATTCTTTGACGATGCTCAAGAGTTGATCTGAAATGGTTTATATAAGGTGCACAGAGATCTCATCTCGAAAAGCTGCAACGGTCATATTTTTGAATTTAGGGTTCCGCTGTAAAATTGACGGAAATGCCACTACCTTTCCCCCAAAAAGACAAAAAAAAGCTGATTCAGTTCAAAATCTACTTAAAAACGGAAAATATTTATTATTTAAATATAAGAAAATATAATTATTTTATCACAATTTATTTTATTTTATTTTATTCTTATTTCAAATACTTATATATATATATATTTATTTTCTATAAAAATTAAAATAATTATACCATATTTTTACATTTTTAAAAATAATTTTAACTAATTAATAAAATTTATAAAAATAATAATAAATTAAACTTTTTTTATTATTAGTCAAACTAATTTTTTATTTTTTTAACACATTTAAATATTGTATAATCATTTTAATTTCTTTAATCGGAAAATTAAAATTATTTTTCTCAAATATAATTCTCCCTATATTTTATTTAATATTATTTTAATTATATATTTTTAAAATTTCAAATTAAATTTTCGTGATATTATTCTATTTATTTATCATTTCTTCTCCATATACAATTTTAGGTAAATTAGCAGGTGATTCCAATCTCCTGCACTCACTCATAACCTAAAACCCTGCACCCTATATGATCTTCTTTGGTACATTCCATCTCGCCGGACAAGGTTCGATCCCACGATGTAACAACAGCCGCAAGATGTATCGGGTGTAGGAAACGTCCTGTGCTGAGAAGCACATGAGCGTAATCACTGAAAGACAAAGATAGAGTGTGCTCAAAGTGCTACCACTCACTCACGATGTGGTTTTTCAATTTTTTTGTTGGATGTTTTTTATCGATTTGCACCAGAAACCCTCCTCCACCCACCAAATACCACCAACCCATCTCTTATTTTATTTTTTTTCTTATATATTTTTGGATTAATATACATATATATACGCATATAACTATATAACCATATATATAGTCCATATTTGATTTATTATTTTTATAGTTATATTGTATATCCACTGCGGTATGCTCTTTTGGGTTCTCAGATTTGCTTGTTCTTGAGCAGCAGAAAGGTAAGGAGAGAAAAAAGAAAAAACATTTTTTTACTCCCCTGTCATCCTATTTTCTTCTGTGTTATTGCGTAATTCTTATATGGGTTTTTGGTATTTATGTAAGGGAATTTCTCTGTTTCATTTTCATGTCCTGGAGAGATCTCTGTGATTGGGATCCAATTGGATTTTGGCAGCATTTCGGTTTGCTGATATATGATCTGTTTACCCCCTAGGGTACGACCCAGTTTCAGTTTTATTTGATTGGGAGTTACTGCGAAGCGATTTGCTTGATAAATGGATCTGAAAAATTGGATTTTGTGCAAAAGAAATGTTGATGATTTAATTGTCATTGATGTTGTTGATTCTTTTTGGTGAAATGGTATGGAATTTTCCTGAGATATTTCAGTGTATGATGATTTCTTTAAACTGAATTTGGAACTTTTGAATTCTGGATTTTTAAGGAAGTTGTCATTTTGTTCAATTTATGGAATGTTGAAATGCTGCAATATTGAATGGTTCTCTGATATTTCAGTATATGATGTTTTTTTCGAGAGTGAAATAACATCTCTTAAATCTGGATTTTTGGGCAACTGAGTTGCTGTTCCTATGGGTTGTGATTATATTCTTGAAGGCATCATATTCATCCACTTTATGGGATGCTGAAACGCTATGTAATGCATTTGGGATATTTCAGTATATGATGATTTCTTTAGAGTGAAATAGCATCATTTAGGTTTTAGGCAAATGAGTTGCTCCTATGTGGACTGTGATTATATTCTTGAAAGTCACATATTCATTCAATTCATCTAAAGAGAGGGTTTTTCTTTTTACTTCCTTGGATTAGATCTTAACCTGAGAAAATGAGAGGTGGTGGTTTGTGGCAACTTGGTCAGTTAGTAACTCGCCGTCTTGCTCAGGCTGAAAAGAAGGCTGTTGCTCGCCGGTACTTTGCCTCAGAGGCTGACCTCAAAAAGACTGTTCTTTATGATTTCCATGTTGCCAATGGTGGGAAAATGGTGCCGTTTGCTGGATGGAGCATGCCCATTCAGTATAAAGATTCAATCATGGATTCTACTGTGAATTGTAGGGAGAATGGTAGCCTCTTTGATGTCTCCCACATGTGTGGGCTGAGCCTTAAGGGGAAGGACTGTGTTCCGTTCCTCGAAAAGCTTGTCATTGCTGATGTTGCTGGGCTTGCTCACGGAACTGGGACCTTAACTGTGTTTACAAATGAGAAGGGAGGAGCAATTGATGATTCTGTTATCACAAAAGTGAAAGATGATCACATCTATCTGGTTGTGAATGCTGGATGTAGAGATAAAGAT